ACCTAGTAGCAATGGCCTCCAACCTAGTAGCGATGGCCTCCAACCTACTAGATACAAAGATCCTTCAGAGCCAAGGCTTATCGGCACCATCCAGGGGGAGACGCAGCTCTTCATTCCTCCTGACTTGGTGCCATGCTGCAAAATTGCAGCTGTCACGATTGAAGTGTGATTATTATATAGTATAATACAACTATAACAATGTCATTATTTTTGGCTCGATTCATAATTTCAGAATGCGAACCATGCTAAGGACTGTAGGACTCTTTTCTAGCAGAAAAATGGATCAATTTCCTGTCTAGCTCAAATCAACACTTCTCGCAGCGTGATGTCATGTTCAATAGGACCAATACGACACCCACAACGGTGTCATCTAAATCGGTTTTGAGGCTTCAAATCTTTGTTTGCTGTTGCATTCGCGAGATCTCCTAGGCCTTAGCTCCGTTCACGCACTTCCTGGTCTATGCAGCCTCCAACTTTTCGGAGCAAAGCTTTCCAAGTGCCCTTCGCATTGTGGATACCGTTGCCAGTGCGTCTGCGGCCCAGAAGACAAGGAGGAACTTTGAGAGCAGCTCTTCTCTCTTTCTATTTACCATCAAATCCAACGCATAGAGTCTACGAAGATAAGAGGTGAGGAGTTCTCTACATAAACGCAACCAAGAAGCTTAAGGGAATACAGGGAAGTGCCTGATCAAAGACTGCTGGGATCGGTGACGATAGGGGTCAATCAATTGACCAATCTCCTAATTATTGATTGATGCTGTTTCTTTTTTATCCTTGATAGTCTTCAATCATATATTTGAGAACAGATGCACAAGACTAGACTACTGGAGCCAAGCACAGCCTATTGAGACTAGGAACTAAAACACGATGTAGTAAAGCATATATATATATATATCAGCAGGGAAAGAGCTGAACAAGACGAAGAGAAGCCAGCCAACAAGAGTACGAGCGACAAGCCAGCCTTGAAGTTGGGAATTCAAGAGCTCTAGGCATCAGGAATCACTCCAGATGGCACAGAGTCAACATTTTTGGATTGGTTTGCATTTTGTGTCAACCAAACACAAAGAACATCAAACAAATAACAAACAACAAGTCAATGGACTGACCTGGGCTTTGTGATAGGTTCGTTGTTTGTTTTCCTGTCGCATAGTTGTAGCATCATGCAAAGCAGATAGTTGCAGATGGTTGATCTATTGCCAAATGCACATGAATGCACGCAAAGAAATGCACAACTTGTAGAAAGGATCTTCAGGGTCTCCTGGTGTCTCCCCTGCTGGGTCCCCGGTTGGTTCAGGTCAACGGTGGACTTCTTGGACTTGGATTTAGACCTCTTGGAGTTGGGCGGCCAAGTGAGCTGGGCAGAACCGCTTGACCTTTCGAAGGTGCAGGACGGCCCGTGACCTGAAAAACGTGAGTCTTGAAAGGTTCGTCTAAGAAATGTTTCGACAAGCTGCCAAGAACAGTAAATAATGATCACATGAGACCTGGCTATTCTTCATTTGCTCATCACGAAAAGCTCCAAGAATGCATTATTATCATGCAAGGGTTGGTGTCCCAAATGAAGAGTTTTGGCAAGAGCAGATGTTGCTCAGCCTGTCTTTGTTGTTCTGCATACACCCGCGCTTCTGTTCATGCCACGAAGGTTGACATCAATCTTTTGAAGTCTCCTGTCCTTCGCGTTGTAGAGGACTATGTGGTATATTTGGGCAACTCCATCGACCGCTCACAGCTTGGGGTGGCGCAGAATTCGCAGCTGGACATTCGGGCTTGGTGGCCCAGTTGGTTGGACACCTTCGTCCAATCAACGATCAACGCGAGCCAGGGTGTTGCATCTAAACCAGTGCATCACCCCGCGTGCTCCACAGCCCCAATCCTGCAGCATATGGGTAAATAGTCCAACACTGACAACATTTTGGGACCAGTTCAACACAGAATCATCTCGCAGAGCTGGGAGTTTCTGTTTTGGTGGGCATTCCTTTTCACGGTGCACAGGCACGTAGGCTGAAATTTTGTCCATGAGCCCTTTGACTCGATAGCATAGCTTTGCATAGTATGCAGACAGCCTAAACAGCTCCAAACATCTAGCCAAAAATGAACCCCTGCCATGCTTGCCAGCCAAATCATGCCAAATGTATCCAAATGTGGTGTCAAAACATGTCACAATTCATTAGTCCATATTGATCTCAAAGTATCGTCCATCGTCGAATAAACATATTCAAGATCACATTTTAGAACTTGAGAGATGCGTTTGGGTTTGATTTGCAGTCCGTGTGTTTACAGAGCTTCTTTCTGGTTGAGGCTGAAACACCAACTGGCCGCTTCGAGTCGCTCTTGGTTTACACCAGGCTGGACTTGAATGCTCTGAGTAAAGAAAGACCCAGAGCTAGGCACTTGCAAGCAACTTGTATTTTCACCTGAACTTGGAAAATCAGGTTTTAGCATTTTTCACATTTCGACTCAAGCACCCTCCACAGCAACAGCCGAGACGCGCTTGTGTCTCCATCAAGGGGACGCCAGTCACCCCACTTGTGGAGAAGGCCCTTTCCGAAAGACCTCGCGTGGCAGGTCCAGTTTGGCCGAGCAGAGTTCGCCCTCATCCTTGATCTTCCAGGACAATGAGGCTGATCTTTTGATCACTAGATGAGTTGCACTTCTTGCTCTCTTTGATGATTTGTCATTCAATTCAAAATCAGCATGAAGTTCAAGCAATATGAATGAGCGTGTTCAAGCGTGTCCATGTCATGGGAGTCCGAAAACCAAAGTCTAGTAGTCGGGTTCCATGCCATATTGTTATATAATGTTATATAAAGGTAAACGCTGCACGCAAAAGCTCGCGTAAGGGAAGCAAATGGTTCGCGAAAGACGAGTCTACCAAGATCTTTGTTTTTGTTGGTGGTCGGGCATGTTCCTCACCCAAGTAAAACCCTCTCAAAACAACCCTCAAGACAACGCAAAAAGGATGCTCTGCTTTTCTGCTGACTTCGTGGTCTTGGTGGGGTCTTCTCGCCCCGTTGAGGTGTCTTGACCTCAACTTCATCTAAAAGGGCTGCAAAGACATGCAGCATGCAAAAGCGTGTCATCTTTGTGCAGGGGTCATGCATCAACACTCCCCCTGTCTTCCTTGAAGACATCGTGATGCCATGCTCCTCACCACACGAGTACTCCAGGTCTAGGACCCTTCTTCCAGCATGTGTGATGAGGGCAGGCCTTCCATCAGCTCAAGCCCCATTGGTTGACAGCTTCTTCATCTGTCAGTTCAAAGGCCAACCAGGCCGTGTGGCAGCAAGACAAAACCAACAATGCCCATGCATTCGTTGAAAACAGTTGTACTGTATCCTGCAAGCCATTAGCCCAGTGTGCACCCCATTCTTTTCTTTTCTCCTTTCTTCATCAAAACCATAATGCCAACAGGCATTTGCTTCACTTTCAAAGCCAATGTTGGCCATGAAGGCCAACGCCCAAGCCAAAATGGCCATAGGTGGGCCGCCAAATGGCTTCGGCAACCCCCTTTTTCTTCTTCTTTCATCTTTTCCTTACATGTTGAGCTCCCTCTCGCGAAGCTCCTGTAGGCATCGAACACATGGGGCATACTTCTTTTCAGCCCCAGTTGAACAGGCAGGTGGCCGTGCAGCATCCACATGGTAGATCTCGCCCCACCCACGAGACCAAAGGTGTTCACCCCTTCGGACATGGGCCATGTCGATGGTGAAGGCGCATCGATGGCATGGAGGTGAGCTCCGGAGCACGGATGAGGTGAGCGTAGGGCATGAAGTAAAGATGTGGTACTTCTGCCCGTACTTGGTGACGTAAACACCCATCCCTTGATATCGCCGGCCTCCATCTCCGATTGGCGGTTCGCCATCACGCTGGAATGCCCTGGGGCATGCCTTTGCGGCAGCTTCTGAAGGACCTGCTGGTCTTGGTTGAGGTGGCGTTGGATCCCATGCTTCATCGGCCATCATGTCACGGTAATCCCTCTCTGTAGGATGATAGAGGGTCTCATCATCATTGGCCGGGGACTCCCGTGGTGGAACATCAGAGGGCACTTCATGATCACCAGCGGGAATCTCCTGTTCAGGTTCTTCCTGGATGCCAGTGAGGGTGACATCCGAATGTGGCTGGGAGGTTTGTCCGGATGAACTCGAGGTCGGAGGAATACCAGCTTGTGCCCTTTCTTCCGGAGTGAGGGAGGAAAGCCATCGTAGCAACCATTCACGGTTTTGCAGCCCAAACTGGCTTCTCTCTTCAGACAGGCTCATCATCTTGAGGACCTCCTTTCCCTTGCCCTTTTCCTTTCCTCTTTCCCTTTGACCTGGCACTTGGCCTATTGACTTCTCGGCCCTGCCAGTCAACCGTGATGGAACTTCCCTGGGATTCCGACGTGGAACTGCCAGGTGGCCCAAGCGCCGGCGGCTCATATTGTTGACCAGCCGCAGCGTCCCCATCATTAATGGCTGGTGCCAGAAACCAAGCGCAGAAGCGTCTGAAAAGCAGGGTGGCCAAGATGACAAGGATGGTGTACAGCATCATAAACAGTTGAAGCGGCTCCGAACCGGCCTGATCAGATGGAGCATCATCTTCTCCACTTTGATTTCCTTGGGCTTTTGATTTAGCGATCAAAGCCATGAGCACTGCCAGCTTCAGCTGTCGTCCATCGAAGTTCAACTTTCTCTGGCTCCCTTCTTTTTCATCTTTCTCTTCCTCAACTCCTTCTTTTCCTCTTTCACTTACCGCCTCTGGGCCATCCTCCTTTTCTTTCTTTTCTTTCCTTACCGCCTCTGGGCCGCCCTCCTTTTCTTTCTTTTCTTCGCTTACTGCCTCTGGGCCGTCCTCCTTTTCTTTCTTTTCTTCATCCACCTTCTTTTGTAGAACCATGGACATCAATTCTTTCAGCTCCAAGGTGCGCTGACTCGAAAGGGGCTTCGTGCCAAGGTCGGCAATCATGATGGTGCCGGGCATGTGCCTCACTCGCCAGTCGAGGTTGGTGATTCTCCAACGAACATGCTGTGCCCTTAGCCTCAAATGCCTGGTGCGCCAGTTGGCATGACCATCGGAGAAGAACCCAGTGGCCGCAAGGTTATCAACGAAGAGGGTCTTCACATAGGGTTCCTCATGCTCTTGGATCACGCTATCAACTGCATCACCAGTTTGGAGACCTTCAATGGCTTCCAGCAGCTCCGACTCAGCAGTGGACAGAGCCGGAAATGGTTGGCGACCACTTTTCCAAAAAATCAGCGCTCCATTCCACAACACCATCACAGCGCCATGGGAAGCTTGGGTTTCGGGTGAGGCTGCAAAGCTCGAGTCCGTGTAGACCTCCAAAGACCTTGAACCCCCATCCCATCCTTCTCCTTTTCCAGGTTGAAACTCCAGTCCTTCATTGGGAGTTGACTTCAAGTACTTCCAGACTTGAGTGGCTTGTTCAATCACCCAGGATGGATGTGGCAGAATCTCTTGAGCACATCGACTTGTCGCGAATGCTACATCGGGTCTTGTGCGGGTTGACAACCACATCAGTTCGCCAACGAGCTTCTGAGCTGCATTGACCAGCTCTGGTGTAGGCTCTTCTGGCATCGGGGCTGTATCTTTGGACATCACATTCTTTGTATCTGGAATTCCCTCCTTGTCCTTGATGTAGTCTTCTTGTGACGCCCGATATCCTCCTTCAATGGTTTTGGTGATCTCCATCCCCCAAAACTTGACCTTTTCTTTTCCAACTTCTTCAGGCATAGAGGTCTCCCATTGGGCCTGTAGAACTTGGATCACCTGGTTGATGGTTTTCTCATCACTTGTAACCATCAGGTCGTCAACGTAGACCAACAGGAATCCGACCATCTTTTCTTCCCGCTCTTCATCTTCACCATCACCGAGCATGATGCTCCATAGATTAGGCTCGGCTTCGGCCTGGACAAAGCGATGTCCTTGGGGTGAGGTCAACTCCCTCAGTACCTGATCACGGTAGACCCCCCAACAGCGCGGAGACTGGCGAAGACCGTACATAGCCTTTTGAGCCAGGTAGTAGTCCTTAGGCCCCACATGGCCCGTCTTCAGAAGAAGCGATGGTGGCTTCAATACCACCATTGTTGGCTCCTGACCTTCAGCTTCGATGTCCAGTGGAGCGTTGAGGAACGCTGTTCGGATGTCCAGCACAGATGCCTTCCAGCTCTCTTCAGCTGATCGCTTCAGGACGTAGCGAAGGCAAACGGCGTCCGCCCCTGAGGCATAGGCATTGATCCTTCTGTTCCGCTGAGGCTGGGTCAACGAAGTTGCCGCAGGCTACCAGTCTGATCTTTCTTCTTGGACCAGGCTTCAAGGTGATCACTACCTTCGAGGGCAGCACCTCCAACTTTCTGCCCCACTTTTCTTGTAGGGACTTGAACTCATCTTCATCGATCCGGCGAAGAGCCCTTTTCTCTTCAAACAGTTGGTGAAGCTCTTTCCGGATAGCTTCATCCCATTTGGGAGCATCTCGAAGAAGTTCTTTTGGGGAGACCACCCTGGTTCGAAGAACAGGTTCCTCCTCCTTGGGCATAGCGCTCTTAACTTTCTTCAGCTCCTCATAGACGACGTCCATGACCTTCATTTCATCCTTGGGCATGATCACGCTTTCCTCCAGGACGATATTGGAGATCCTTTCCAGGTGTTGTTCTCTTTCCTTTTCAACCACTTCATATTCATCTTCTTCCAACTTCATACTTTTAGCTCCCATTTTTCCCCGTATCCTTCTTCTGATTTCATAGGGACCCTCAGCCTCCTCAGCGGCCTTTGTGACAGCTATCCAAGTTGATTGGCTCGGCTCAGGCTCCTGGGTCTTCATGATGAAGTACGGGACGATCGCCGTGGAGCCATTGTCTCTCAACACCAGGTGACCATGAGCATCGGGTCTTGGAGCAAGGTAGCGAACCTTCTCATGGGTCGCTTCCAATTCTTTTGTCTTCCAAAATAATCTTCTTTTGACCAGGAGCTCATGACCAAAGGGCGGGACGTCGCCCAGATCAAGATCCATGCGTCTTCGCTCCCGCTCGTGGACATAGTGGCATGCTTGAGGCCATCGACTTGCCGGCATACCAGCCATGCCAAGGGCCCGACGGATGTGGGACTTCACTGTTTGAATCGCTCTTTCCGCACGCCCATTGGACTGAGAAGAGACTCCCGCCGTTGTGGTGCGATGGATGTCCCTTGAGCGACACCACTGGGTAAGGGATCTTCCTCTGAATTCTCCCCCGAGATCAGTGTGAAGCGTTGCCACGTGGTAGCCCATCACCCTGAGCTGGATGTACATTTGCTGGATCGTGGACAGCACCGTCTTCTGATCCTTTGAGACCATCGGAATGGCGAGTCTGAAGGTGATCAGGTCGGGGTTCTCCTTTTCTTCACCCACTTCAACTTCCTTCATCTCCTCACCTTGTTCGCCTTCTTCTGCTCCACCTTCTTCTTCCTCATACTTTTCATTTCCTTCCTCCTCATCTTCTTCTTCAAGCAGCACTTCATCAGAATCAGCCAGTTCATCATCGGGTACTGGCGGGTGCTGTTCCTGAGGAAGAAGCCAGGTGTAGGTGCCAACGAATGAAGTCCTTACCATCTTTGGCGACAGGATACGGACCAGCAGTGTCCAGTGACAGTGTCGCTGCCAGCGGGTGTGTGACCTTTCGATGTGGTCGGGACTTAGCGCTTTGCTCCTGACAGATTCGACAGTCTCTTCGGAAGGGCACGTGACCATTTTGACAGTGCTGCTCCCACGTCATCTTTTTTAGCCTTGGTTCCTCCTCCACATTTCCATTGATGTGAAGAGCACAGGCTTCAACAACAGATCGACTCAGTCCCGGAACCCAGCGAGCCAGTGAGGATGATGGGACCTTCTGACCTTCTCCTCTGCTCTTTGACCCAGGGTTTCTTTCTTTTGGTAAGCGGAGCTCAACATTGGCGGCCAAAGTTGTAGGCTTCACCGGTGCATCCTCCTTCCAGGGTTCATAGTCTCCTTGGTTCAAGTTGTAAACTTGTAGATGAGCAGCCCTTTGAAGCTTCTTCCATGGCTCCGTACTCCAAAAGGAGACACACGAGGGCATGTAATCCTTGGGGTCAGAAGGCTGCTCCAGTAGGAACATCACTTCATCCTTACTCTTCTTTTCTTCATCTTCATTTGTTGAACCCTTCAGCTTGGCAGCCATGTCCGCGACCAGGAAGATAAAGATCTGGCGCCACATCAGGACATCATCTTCTCGACACATAGCCACCTCTTCAGGGCTGTAGGAACTGATGCCCCATGGTTCCTCCCAGGATCTCACAGGTCGTGGGCCACCAGGGTAATGTCGCAAAACAGATCGGGTGCGACAGTTTGGTCCCCCAATCACCGCCGCCAAATCCCCATCCAACGCCAAACGAAGCAAGCCCTTGTAGGCCTTCGAATCCAGGGATGCCATCTCATGATCATCACCCCGCTTTAGATCCACCTCCAAGGTGCGGCTTCCCAAACCATGCTCTTCCATAGCCTTCTGCAGAGTGAATCCTTCACGTTTTCCTGCGTATAGATGCAGGATCACGGAGCCAGCTGCCTTCAGCCGCTTTCGTTGATGTCGGTTGGCAGGAAGGTCCTTCCACTCGCCCGGTTGTTGGACCAAGGCCTTCTTGACATGATCCGGAAGTTCCAAGAACTTCATCCACTCTACCTCCTTTTCAGGTTGTGTTTCCTCACCAAGCGAGCTTGCTTGCCTTCTAGGGCACGATCTTCATACTCCTGGATGAGCTCGAGGGCAAGCTGCTTGGGGATTTGTGGGCACCCTGCTTGGATGCTGATAGGCAGAGATCCTTTTGTAGGATGGGAGACCTTCATGCCATGCTTTTTCCATGAGATCTTACATCCTCCACCAGCCAACATCCCCAGGGGCACTATCGGTTCCACTTGTAGGTTTGTCGAAACCATCACCCCCGACTCCGTCATCAAAAGAGGTGTGGTGCGGCCATCAGCCAGGGACACAGAGACCTTCTTGAACTTCTCGAGGCTGTCCGTAGATGCAAGAGGCCTCAGGGGATGCGTGGCACCCGAGCCCAAGAGTCCCCATTCTTCTTCTTGCGCAGACCCCATCTTCGCTTCGCGAACTCGGGTCAACTTCAGGGTTTTGATACTTTTCTTGATCTCATCAAGCTGCTGATGCAATCGGCTCAGCTTGGCTTCTGAAGCTTCTTTGTCCTTCATCGCCTTAAGCATCTTGTTGGCTTCAGCGAGAAGTTCATCCATCTTTTCATCATCCTGACCTCCACTTCCCTTTCCTCCTTCCTCGCCTTTTGGGTCTGTCTCTTCTTCCTTTTCCTTCTTGACCTTTGGTGGCGAGTTGGGAGCAGTTCCACCTGAGTTCTCCTTCGTAGGACAGGTGGGAGCTAGGTGCTTCGTGGAGCCACATATATAACACCTTTTTTGTTCATCCTTTTGGTCATGTGACCATTTGCAATCACGGCCACGACGACATCCGGCCTCGCTGAGGAAAAACTTGCACGGCGGCTTGACTTCCATCTCTTTCAGCTTGCCTTCACTTCCTTTGGCCTTCTTATTGACCTCCTCAATCTTCTTCATTTTATTTTCCTCCTTCTTCGTAGTTGCACCAGTTCGCTTCTCGGCCAAAGAGAGCTGTTCAATCTCAGCAATGAGATGGGTTGCGAACTGGCTGACCGAGAGCGCATTGGGATTGGTGTCAACCTGAAGGGCATTCCGAGCAAGAGACACCCGGAACCGTAGGCTTTCATTGCCATCCAACACTCGCTTCGTCAAGCGATTCAGACCCTTGACCAGGATGGACGGGTCGGGTTCGGTGGCTCCAATCTCTTGAGCTCTTGCACGCCAGCGAAGCCATCGACGTAGGCCAACCACCGTGTCGTGCAAATTTCCTGGTTCCGTTGGATCTTCGAGGTTCCGCAGGAGCATTTGTTTCTCGCTGATGCCACCAGGACAGTAGGTGACGTGAAGGTGGGCAAGGATGGCGAAGACTGACAACCTTTTCGTAGCCACCAGTTCATCTTTCTGAACCTCTGGAATTGCCTTCAGCAACAGGGTGGCCATTCGCCGTTCCAGCTTTGCCCACTTCGGAACGCTGAGTGATGATGGAGGCACAGGTTCATGTTTGACCCGCTCCAAAGGAGCCATTGCTTGGTGGTCTTGATACCACTTCTCAACCTCAGTCATCATTCGATCCCACCAAATGTCAGAGGTGGTCGTCAGATCAGCCACCACAGGCTGAACAAGAAGCAGCCAATCACCCAGCTGCAACTGCGAGGTGGAACCATGTAGAGGATGTAGAGCAGGTAGTTCAGCGACCTGACGGACAATCTCCACCCCCTTCACCGTTCCCTGAGCTTCTTGTCCCTCCGAAATCTGTCGCTGGAGAGACTTCATACTTTCCACCAAAAGTGTCATCACTTCCATCTGTTGAACTTCAGGGGATAGTTTGGCTCCCCCGGTTGTAGGTCTAGGCCCCTTCATTTCCCCTTTTCCATAGGATGGACTTCGACCCTTCCTCTGTTGTTCTTTGGAGCGGGACCTGGAACCCTTGACCCCATAGCGAGCCGGGTAGGTCGACCACGGCGTGCGTCCTCGGGCATGTAGGTCGTCGGCTCCTGGAATCCCATTCGGTCCCTCTTCATCAGGGGTGTTGAAGTTGGAAGCACTTCTTGGCCTTTCCATTTCTTCTCTTTCCTTTTTCTTCTTCTCTTCAACCTCCAACCTCTTCCGGTCTTCACCTTCGATCCTCCATTCATAGAGCTCCTGTTGAAGGCGATCATTCTCACGTTGTTGGGCCTGGCAAAGGTCAGTGAGCCGTCGCACATCCTGAGATATCTGCCAGCGCCACATGATTTCTTCCTCTTGGTCTTCCCGTTCCTGATCGCGACGGGTCCTTCGAGGATCATTGGAGCTCTCTTCACATCTTTTAAGCTCCTCACTTTCTTCTTCCTCCATCTCCACCACCCTTCTCTCCCTCTCTTTCTTGCCTCCTCTCTTTCCTTCCCTTTTTTCTTCTTCTTCTTCCAGGAAGGCAGGGCGAGATACCTGAGTCGGCCGATCATCTCCTGAAGAGGACGGCATCAAACCTGGGCCAAAGAGTTGTGGAGCTCGTCGAGCAGATGCCTTAGCTTCACGGATCTGCTCCTGGGTGAACAAGGGCTGCATGGTTTGAGGTGTCGGTGGAACCAACGGAGCCAAGGTCATGGGCTTTCCTCTTGGGGCTTCAACAACACTTTCCTTCGATCCACCGCTCTTGAACACCTCCATTTCCGTTTTCCCTGTTCCTGTATTCCCCAGCCCAGTTGTCGAGCGAGCCGGGGTGCTGAATTCCTTTTTGGCTTCTTCTTCTCCTACACCAGCTTCGAGCACTTCCGCTGGTTGCTTCACCTCCAAGTCTTCGCAGACATCAGCAGGAGGTGGCAAAGCGAGCGGCCCATCGTCGTGGTCCATGATTCGACGGCGCCGGAGCATAGACGGGTGTGGATTAGAAGAACCTTCCAACGTTGGGCTCATAACCTGTTGGTGGTCGGGCATGTTCCTCACCCAAGTAAAACCCTCTCAAAACAACCCTCAAGACAACGCAAAAAGGATGCTCTGCTTTTCTGCTGACTTCGTGGTCTTGGTGGGGTCTTCTCGCCCCGTTGAGGTGTCTTGACCTCAACTTCATCTAAAAGGGCTGCAAAGACATGCAGCATGCAAAAGCGTGTCATCTTTGTGCAGGGGTCATGCATCAACAGTTTTAAAACAACACCGGCCATGAAACCACAAACAGCAACAGACAATAAGTAGAGACAAACCAACGATAAAACCAGAAATGAGAACTCACGAGGAAACAAATAGCATTTCACCAGTGGGCGCGAAAGCAGGAGAAAGGTTCACGCAAGAAAAGCAAAAGAGCACCCTTTTGGGAATATGAATGTAGGACAACACCCACATATAGTTTTGTTATGTTTTGTTTGTTATTTTTGCACCACCGTTTTTGCTTATTTGTATCCAGTGAGTAGGTCCTGCTGAACATCTCGTTCTACGACCTCGATCTCGACGAGGTGCTGGGTCCCTTTACTTGTCAGACACGCGAATTCATGCTGAGTGAGTGCAACTTAAGTTATGTCGAAGTCTAAGTTAAGATATAGTCAAAACGCTAAGAACATGGGCCGAAGCCTCATTTTGCTTCGTTACTAGTAGTGATTTGACCCGCAGGGTGACTTGGGTGGGCTGGCAAATTGGTCCGGCACATCAGAGGAATTGGTGCTGGAATATGCGGCTTGACTGCAAAGCTCATGGATTTCAAGTCGTGCATCAAGTCTTGAACACGATTTCCGAAACAAGCGTCGATCATCAGATCCTTGCGAAGTCGATACGATCGAGCACAGGGGTTCCCTTTGCTTCAGACAGAGTCGATAGCTATGCATGTGCATCACTGGTTCAGAGCCGCAGCTGTCGGGTGTGGTTAGAGCTGCCAGATATATCATGCTGAAAGGCTGTGTACTTGGCAGAGATTTGCGAAGGGCAGGACTGACAATGAGTGGCTTGTATTTGCTTGTGCCAAGCCCAGATAGGGGCTTAGGCTTGCAACAGGAACATGCCTAGATAAGTTCACAGCTTGAACGCAAACCAAAGACTTTGATTTGTTTAGATCTTTTTCGTAGAAGCATGCACAGAGGAAGATTATGAAAGCCATTGAAGCATTCTGTTGAACTCCCTGCTCCAGCATGCAAGGGGTAGAACAAATATGAACATGAAGATTTTACATGGCCAACATGCACCGTTTTGTGGGCTGTACCCCTGAAGATTTGGTCCAGGAGAGGAATGACACAAGTGACACCAGTGATGTGGCAACATGGGAGAACAGCACGAGCCCTGACTTTTGCAACCTTCGTTACATCGACACGGTGAACGCCAGCGAGCCAAGCTCCTTAGACCAACTTGGAGCGCGGAAAGAAGAATGATCATGGTCCGTTTTCTCTCAGTTCAAAACGAGTATGATATCAATCAATATCAATTAATACTATACTATTATAGTATGATGATGAGTATGTATGGTCCAACAATATGGAGTTAGGTGGAATTTGGATCCCAATTGATTAAACGTCCATCATCATGCCCACTATTGGAGTTCCCATCTATTTAAGTAATCCCTGCCTCAAGAACTTCAACGGAGACTGCTCTGAGGAGTCCAAATTCCAGCGGAGACTCCGAAGATGAACTCGACGCATTTGGCAGTATTCGCACGTTCAGCTGCCCGATCGCAAGTAAACAAGACCATGTTTTGGGAGCTTCCTACATAGATCTTCGTTTTCTCAACATGAAAGAGTTCGAGAGTCCTTTCAGTATCTTTCAGTGCTCTAAGAGCATCTAAGAGCTTCACTCGAGGCGCTGGTCGAACAACGAACGCCTTCGGCCTTGCTGTTCTTTGACGCCTCGGCTAGTGTCACACAGTTGAGCTTCGCAGATTTGGATTTGGATGCCGGGGGCCTCAGTGAAGCAGCGCAGCCAATGCGAAACACTTTGCGAAGCCAATCGAAGCCATTTGCGAAGCAAAGCTGATTTACGGAGATAGGCGGAAGAATAGGTGTGGCACTGCATCTGGGGCATATACTGCTATGTAAAAGCTGAGATCAGACGTGCGATAGCATGTGACACCATGTGGTCATGTGATAGTGAATAACTAATTAGAGACCTTTTGGAGTCCGGAGGAGGAGGACCATTCTTTTGCAGTCTCAGTAGCAGAGACAGAGTTTGCCTGCCCCCAGGTTGGCCAACTTGGAGGAAGCATCACCTGGCAAGCTGCTGACACAGCAGCTGCTCCACGCGTCCTGAGCTACGATGTGTATTTGGCGCCACCTGATCATGAGAGGGGGGTCACTGACTGGACGCGAGCAAGAATGGATTTTGTCAGTTTTGACACCCCTTGTGGCCCCTTGTCTCCTTACCCATGGAAATTACCAGTCCTTGGTGATGCGTGATGTGGGTTTAGGGATCACACAACTTCGTTGAAGTAATAAAGACGAGCAAACAGCGAACGTTCGTTGCTTGCTATGCCCTGGAAGCATTTGGTACTGTAGCAACACCTTCACCCAATCGCTCACTTTCTCCATTCCTTCACCCAATCCTTGGGTCTTGACTCGAAATGACATTGGCCTCAGCCAAGTCCTGATACAGCGGCAACACAACGATCTCGCATGGGATCGCAGCCTGTGGGACAGGAAGCATTGGACCGATCCTCAGACCTGTCGTTCTGTCCAGCATAGCAAAAGAACTTCAGACAGGTCTAGTATCTAGGTCTAGGCGTATTCTATCTTCCTGCAATTGCATAGAAGTCGCCTTCTCCAAAATGAAGAAATGCGTCTGACGCCTAAGTCCCAATTGTCAGCATTGAAGAAGACTGGTCGAACCTGAGACTCTTGCAGCAATGGTCGAGGTCGTGGAACCTGAAACTGACCTCTTTGAGTTCAGCTACATTGTGGTTTTCACTCGATCTGCACTCACAGAGTCGGGGGGCTCATTCTGAAGAGTTTTATTCTGATGTTTCACCGGAATGACGCGAAACCCAAGCAGCAGACCAGGAAGCATGAGGAAGCGTTTCTAGATTTCCATTTCTCGTTTCTTGTAGATCTTGCAGACTTGTAGCAATCTTACTTGTCTGTCAACAGATTTGTGAAGAAAGAGCCGCTCTTCACGCAAGTCTACCTTGACTTTAGATTTATTCAGACTGCCCTTCAAGGCAGACAACTCCGGTGGGGTTGCATGTCTCAGACACACAGGCAGCGCTGTGTCTTCGACACCTTGGTTTGAATGTTTGGGTGTCCTCACACCTCAGCATTGTATGGTTCATGCCTTTCCCCACCCCTTTCTTACAAAGTGGAGGACACACATTGAAGAAACCCAAGCATCCTGGAAAGGATTGAAACTTGCAGCTGCATGCCAGTGGTCTTGATGAGAATCTTTGTACTTTGCTTCGTCAGGCCACCGTTGAAAATGTGAGTTTCATTGACCTGGACTTGGACTTCACTGATGCTTGGGGCAATTTGGATTAGCTTTCTGCCCTGTTTGGACGAAAGAAACATGCCTCATCTCAGATGACATTCTATGACCTTTTTTAATTCTCGAAAAGTCCTCAGGAATTGGGTGGTGATCTGCGCTGGAGCGAGCCCCTGAACTTCAAAGAGGTGGGCCCTTGAACAGAAGGACGAACGAACACCGGGTGTTGGGTGGATATTTCCGCTGCTACAGAAGTCTGAGAGAGTTGCCAGCGTCTTCGAGAAAAGAACGTTCAGTCCCCATGTGTTTGAAGCCATGGACGGCAGGTGGAACGCTATAACATTTACCTGTCCGAGATTCTGGACGCTGAGACCAAGGGGAATGAGATCGGGTTGTTGGAAACAATAGAATGACGAACCATTGTTTGCTGTGCTGGAAATGCTTGCGTATGTCAACTGAGTAATCACAAACATTAGTTCTTGCTTTAGCGGCCTGAGGCCAACACAGTGATCTTTCCCTAGAACCCCTCCTCAGAGTTCGGTTACACGCTGGTAAAAGGTACCAGTAAGCTGGCCGTTGCGCTTGCTCATTGATTGATTGATTGATTGAACCAGGACAGCTTTCGTTTTAACTCCAAAGTGCACATCCTTCACCACACGACAGTGAGGACCTGGACGTGCAGAACTTTACTGTGCGGACTTTCCTTGCCAATGTCTCCGTTGGAGAGGCCTTGGTGTTCTGTCCATGAGTCAGCGACAGTGGATATGAAACCCAGGCAATCAATTGAACAAAGCAAAGATCTGCAAAGACATGCAAAGACTTTTTCCTAGTAGCTTCTTGCTCCTAGTAGTAAGGCCAGGAGCCCCTAGTAGCCTTCTTGCTCCTAGTAGCGATGCCCTTTGTTCCTAATTGTTTCGTGCGATCTGCAAGACACTCTTCAGGACCTGTTTGTCGTGGCTCCAGAGACCTCACGTCTTGACACCAACAACTCTGCGCTTGAAGAAGCTCCGCGGAGCAAGTGACATTCATCTCTTCGGGTTTGCAGAGCAATAGCCTCCAATCTAATAGCAAAAGGAATAACCTACTAGCGATGGCCTCCAACTTAGAAGTGACATTCATCTCTTCGGGTTTGGAGTTAATTGCTCCTCTTTCTTTCTAGCTTCATTCAGCCAACGTACCCGGGGGGGGGTTCCTGAGTGATGATATTTGTAGTCGTACAGGCGCCTGAACTTTCTGTTCTTAGCTGAGAGTGCCTGGCTACGCAACTGAGGCGTACACACACTTCTTCATCTATACGCAGTCATCCTTGGTGGAACAAACAACGCCATTTGCCCATGAGATTTATGATGCCGAGGCGGCGGTGGTTCCCTTCGGTTGCAATTGCGGCCTTTGTGATTGCTGTGCGAGGCTACTGTTTCCGACCCTCAACTCATTGATGAAGACTTGGACTTGGATGAGCTTGGAGGCGCTCAGTAAGATGTTCATTACTTAATTGATGCTACTATTATATAGTCCATGTTCATTGAGAGTTGGGGATTCTATGCGATTCTGCCTCCGAGCTTAATGCAATGCGCAAGTCCTATTCGGAAGACTCTACTGCAAAGCAAGATGCTACAATCCTGACATTTGTGAAGATGGGAAAAGCAAAGAGAGGCGGAAGCGCTGTGCTCTCATGCAGGTCGAGTATTCTGGACACCACCCGTAGATTCCAGCCGTGTCTATCTCTACCGTGCCTTCCTGGCAGATCCTTCTGGCCAGCGCTCACAGATCGGCGAGGATTCCAAAGTCGCTGAGTTCTCTGAAGAATGTTGGCGTTTCTTTTTTTCTGATAGGGATGGCCCCAGCCTGATAGCGATGGCCTGCTCTTGGACAGTGTTGCTATGTTTTGCTCATTCTACTAATGATCGTCGACCCATCATCAGTTTCGACATGATTCTGCCAACATACAAGCATATTCAAGCTTGAAGAACCAACCATGCAATATGTGAAAGGGTTTTTGATATTCCTTGGTGGATGCCACAATTGGTGTTTGCCACCTATGTTGGAGGACGTTGAGGTGCCTTTGCATGAAACCAATCTCACTGCTGAGCAGCCGATTGTTTCTTCTTCAGCACTAGCTCCAACTCCAACATGAATCAAGGAGTTCCGGCAATTCTGTAAATTCTCCTGCAACCTTGGACCCAGGCTTCCTTCTCACATTTGCTGGTTTACACGGCTTCGCAGTTGGTGGAACAGACCACACCAAATGCTTCATCCATCTCCGACACTGTGGGGCCCTGAGTCTGAGTTGTGGTAAGGGGAGGCTACTGTCATCATCTTCACCAGCTTGTTTGGTTTCTACATGTTTCTACCACTCCCCTAGGTGCGCGTGGTGTCAATGGTTCGCTTCAATGACTACGACCTGGATTTGGACGAGGCTTTTGAGGGGCCCAGCTTAGGCTTCCGGTGAGATGTTTCTGTCCCTTTGGACCTGCAGGTTGGTGGCACGGTGCTCTGGGACGCTCCTGTGCCTTCGAGCTATGCTGGAAGCTTACTGCAAGTTATGCATAGTTATGCTGGGGTCCATCAAGGAAGCTCGCTGCCTTTCTTAAATCCCAAGCTGCCAGGTGACGAGCTATCGACTGGCTTTTGCCACGATCCGATTCTGGGCTCAGGGTTCGCTTGAGGGATTCACAGGTGACGCACCCAACAACCCTCTTGGAGTGAAAATGCAGGCATGGGGCATGGAGAGGAAAACAGCCAAATTGAAAACTGTGAAGACCTGTTTAGCACGTCCAAGAGATATTCATCGTATTCAGCACATTGAGCGCAAACGATAAATGGATCCACTAACTAGTGCAACAAACCTTTCTTGATTAACCAGATTCCACTTGCAGGCCCCGGCGGTGTTGCAACATTCTCTGTTTGCATGCACTCTTGGCTCACTGTATCCCTGCTTTCGCTGAGGAAATGAGACCTTAGAGGGCTTTGACAACAGCAGTGTTTTGGCGCTGTTGGTAGCTTGCTTGCAAGAGTTCAACTTTCGAGATGCGGGCATGCACCTTATCGAAAGTGTGTAACTTCCGCATTCCGTCTCCAAGGAAAATGAAACCATCAGCAGCCTGAGCTGGACGTTAGGCAGCACTGTAGCTGGCACCGCAGATTTGTTTGCGACAATCCCAGCAGAGACACCCTTGGGCGGAGCAACACATATTCTGGCACCTTGGAGGCACAGTGGACTTGAAGCTTGGGTTCCTGACTTGCGAATTTCTGATACTGTATTCATACAGTGATGATGCTATGGCTATAATCACCCAGGTTTGGACGAAAGTGTCAGATTCATTTTGATTCGCAAGCTGATGATGGCGGAAAGAAATGGAAGGAAAGCTGAAGCTGTAGGACGATCGGTGTGTGGCCCTCAGGGCCTTGGTTCCCCGAGGTCTTCAGCTCGTCGCGCTTGGCGGAGCAACAAACGCCCAGAGCTTTTGAGATCCGAGACACTGCCTCACAGGTTTCAGGCGAGTCCTAGCGCTCACGGAAAGTCTTTCATGCCTTTCGCATCCGCATATGGTCCGACAGCTGAATCTCCAAGATGTCGTTGACGTGCGAAAAGGGAAGTCTAAAATTGGGGAGACCAAAGTAGCTATGGCAAAAAAGTGAAGCCTTGTCACTGTCGATATGGCAACGCTTCCAAAAGAGTATCAGGTTTTAGGATTTGCATTATTTAAGGGGTTTCGCCCCCATGCTGTCGTTGTCATTGTTGTTGTCAATGTCGTTAACTGCTTTTGTTGTTGTCGTTGTAGACTGGTAAACTGGTAGGTGAGACTGATCAGGGCATTGCAGCAGCTGGGCAGTGTTGTTGCGCAGTCGTTTGGGCTTGGTGAAGAGGAGGAGGAGGAGGAGGAGGAGGAAAGAGGACGAGGAGAAGGAGGAGGAGGAGGAAGAGGATGAGGAGAAGCAGGAGCCCAAAACCGCGCCACTCCACAAGGACTTGGACATGGGCCCTCCCCTGTCAGGGCAAGAGACTATGATCCAAGATTCCAAGACAGTGTTGTCTTTGGGTCGTGGGCAGTCACTGACCACTGCCAAGCTGTGAAACCTCTTTGACAAACACTTAGAAACGGGATTGCACCATCTAGGCCCAGGCCACCAGAGTCTAAAGGGGCGTTTGAACCTCCAATACAAGAGAAATGCTAAGGCGCCAAGCCAGGCCTATAAGGGCCGCTCGAGACCTAGCCCTGACAGAGGCTCAGAACATCTAGTGCCATGCCACAAAACCACAAAGAAATACACGACCACCGCAGTATTCTCGTGCACGCTCCCCCCACTGCCGGCAGGGGTCGGCGGATATAACTGGCATCGAATTGGCATGAACCCGTGTCGAAGAAAACCGGCCAATTTCGATGGAACATTGGCCTTTCAATTGCTTGTGTCCGTGAGTCTTGCCACACGCTGTTACATAGCTCCATGGAGGCATTTTCTTCAAGGATTTTGACTTGGATGTGAATGAGTTGGCGGGCGATGCCACATGGTCGGAACCCGTGGACATCCAGTTTGTGACGCAATACGTGGCTTGCAGATTACTGTAGTGGGCAGCGATATATGTTTCCCTTTGTCGGTATATCTCATGATACATCAAGATATTTGCCATGCGGCAGTGAACTGTCGTTCAACTGACTGCAGGAGGGGACTTTTGTTGGGTTTTGTAGACATTTCGAAAACTTTGTGTGACACATCGGGCATCATCGGGCCATTTGGTTCCCTTTTTGAGGTGGTCTATTTGGCGACTGATGCAACAGGATCAGAGCGATCACATATCGCCTCCACAGCCGTGGGCACGACTCTCCTCACAATTCCCTCAGAGACGCGCCTTGGTTGTGGATGGTTGTGGTATGTTGTGGTGGCTTTTGGTGTTTTCTTAGTTAGGTAGGTGACCTCACGACCGTCCAATACAGCTGAGTATCATCTATCCATAATATGAATTAATATGATATCTTATATTCGGAGACTGTGTGGGTTGAATTGCTGAGGTTTTTCTGGTACCAACATGTACCAACCTCAAAACTTCTTAATAGCACAAATTCGTACAGATCGAGTGGGTTTCTAAATGGTCAACACCAGCAGGCAAGCCTTCAACCCCTTTCATGCTTCCCTTGAACGGTTTGAAGATAAAAGTCCAGTCAAGTTTCCTCCCGAGGAGGTCCGAAGGTCGTGATCAGCTGCTGGTTTACACCCAATCTGCCTTGGCAGAACAGAGCACTCCGGCGGCCTTCGCTTTGAGCGACCTGGTCGCGATGGCAACTCGGCTCAAACAAAGGGGAGAGGCAAGTGACAAGGTTGGGAGCCCCAAAGCATCCCAAAGCTACAATTTCCAAATATTTCCAACATTTTGATGAGGTGTCGAACGTCTCCTTCGATGATTATGACTTGGACATGACTGATTTGGGCGGAAACCTCACCTGGGTGCTGGCAGATGACGAGGCTTCCTGCACCTGTGCGCTTTAACGTCTCTCTTTTCTCTGACATTTATGTATAATATACTGTATCATTGTATCATATTATAATATCATCTTGTTATATATCCATATCGTTTCATCATAATCCATTCGAATCGTTCTGGACATTCTCTCTTACTTGTTTGCGCAGACATTAATGGCTTGGCCGAAACTAACGGAATCTGCATGGTTTGTGGCAGGCCTTGTTGACTCACTATGTGGTCTACTTTGCCCAGAGCTGCGAAGGCAATACCTCCGAGGTGGGCCAAGCAGTCAAGAAGAGTGGCTTCCTTGCCAGGGCCATGGAAGTGCATGGTGTTAAAGACAATGCCCTCCACAAAATGCCATGGACCTGTTTTTGTCGGGCCTGAGGATGTTGATATGTGTTGATGGCCCTGCCGCCTCCAGGCACTGGCCTCCTTGCTGACAGGATCCCTGGTCTTTACCGTTGATGGTGCCACGGTCTCACAGGCGCCATGCAAAGAGTGTGAAAGGATTCAGCAGACGCAGATCTTCATCACCTCTCATGATGCGAGTGTCTTCAGTCGATCCATTGTGTCCACTTATCCTTTTGAAGCACGAGCGACGAGCGGAGGTTGAAGCTGCTGTAATTGCCGCACTGGCAATGGAGTCCAGGAACTCAGATTTTTAAAACATGCCTGGCTCAACTTACACATGATTATGTGTGTCATTGTGTGTCCTTTCTTTTGGAGCAAGAGTTGCGACAGCCCAACTCGGAGTCTCAGGTTTGGTGCTTACCCTGGAGATGTTGTTGTCTCGGTGTCTTCTGCCAGCACACGGCGGCTTCTCGGGGAGGCAGCTGGCCTTCACTTTTACAAAAGCACATTTCACATTTGTCTTTAAGATTTGCCTTTAAAGATGCTCACCTTTGACATTTCTTTGGGTTCTTGGCTGTTGCCTGGTCAACCTGAAAGAGCCGTGCAGTCTTTACCTGTCTCTCCCTGTTCGCGAGGCTCGACGCCTTGCAGCGAACACCTGGCTGGTCACCTATCAGGCCTCCGCAATGTGTTAGGCGTTCAATGTACAATGTAGACAAGATGACCACAAGAGGACATTGAACCAATCAGTGAAGAGGTGGAAGTTCACCCCACTATGGCCAGAGCAATACAAAACTACTCGTACCTAGTACTTGAGTGTGTTGTATCTTACCCAGTTGTTGTTTCTTGTACAACAGCTAACGCAACAGCCTGCAGTTTCTCATCTTTGCTCAGGTGCTCTTGAGTCTGAGTTCTGCGAGCTCTGCTCAAACTGTGGCCTCCAGCGTCAGTCCTACATCCTTCATGGCTCAACTGGGACCACAGCTGATCGCTCAAGGCCTTGATAGTCCCCTTGGCAGCAAAGTTTAATCCAAATCCTACTGACGTTCTCATTTGTCCCAGAGGCAAATTTGATTTGGGAGGCACCTACAGACATCTTAGAGACTCTAGAGGCTTTTCCAAAGTGGGACCGTAGCGAAAGTTTCACCTCCCCAAAAGGCCAAGGCAACATGCCATAAAATGCCTACTAGGAGCAGGGACGCTACTAGGGGCTCCTGGCATCGCTTCTAGGAGCAAGGACGCTGCTAGGGGCTCCTGGCATCGCTTCTACGAGCAAGGACGCTACTAGGGGCTCCTGGCCGTACTACTAGGAGCAATGTTCGCTACTAGTAACAAATGCCTAGCTTTTCTGCTTTCACCTCCCCAGATTCTCCGTTGGTCCCTGAGGTGAAGCAGTGTTGACAAGTTTGGCAGCTTGGCACCAAAGCATGAAACACATTGAATAGCCACCAGGTGTCTTTAAGCCGATTATTTATCCATATATATATATACATACACACACCTCCATTTACTACTTTCAATCTCTCAGCAGAACTTCTTCTGCTCTTTTATGGATCCCTACATCAGGAGCCAATCGAACTATTGCAAGTACCGAGGTCCTGATCGATTTTTCCTCGGTTTCAATCAGCTCTGTGTTGGTGAACTCTCTTCCAAGCCTTTTGCCCTGGACCGGCTTCTTCAATGGCAGCAACATGTCATATCGGCAACTTGGCCTGAGCAGTTCTTTTTGTGGCCTGTTCCGCAAATTAGGGTGGAGGCTCCGGTGGAGGCCATCGCTTTGGGGTGGAGGCCGGTGGAGGCCTCGCTATTAGGTTCCTTTGCTTCCCCGAAGGTACGTGCCTGACAGTGACGGCAATGCCACCCGACGCCTGAGTGTGGACTCTTGGGAATCTGACAGGAGACTTGGGGATGCAGTTTGGGAGAAGGGGACATGTGAGCTGCCTATAGTGTGAGGCGCAAGGTGAAAGGTGAGGTTTCTTCGCAGCTTTGCTGCACAGTGCGATCATGTTAACCTAAAACCAGGCGATTTCTTTGTTTCAGGAATTGGTCAACTGGTTGCAACGGGAGCGGTGCTGTGCAGTTTATTCCTCTCCCAAATGGTTTTAGGGCTCGGTGCGGTTGACTCTTGTGGTTCAAGGAGATGGGCCTATCTGTGCAACCTGGAATATATCGGAAATGTGGCTTGAATAAAATGCCAGCAGTCTTTGTGCGCAGACTTGCGGCCGCGCTTGTCCGTCGATTGTTCCATGCAGTGGCCCTTGTCGTGCTTTGTGTGTTGACTGTGTCTACGAGTCTACTTCACACTATTTCAACTATCGATGAATCAACGACCCAGTCACCTATTGAGTCAGGTCACCGCTGGCGTCTCCAGCCTGGTGATCCCACCAGAAACGTCTTTGGAGAATTTCACGCACTTCGCCATTTTTGCCCGGAGTGCAGTGGTTGCCTGGCAGAATCAGGGTGGGGAGTTTTGGTGCCAATGGTGGCGCTCCGGGAAACCAGCTCCTCCTCTTCTGGCCAGTTTCCCCCAAAATCTAGGAATCATATGAATAGTGTGAGGGCTTTTTCAAGGAAGCTGCCCCCCTAAGGCTGGGGGAGCTTCCTTGAAGAAGCCCGAGCTTTCCTGCGCCCCAGCTACTACTAGCTCTGCTTACTAGTAGCTACTCTACTTACGACTTACTACTACTAGCCACTTAAGCTTCTTCACGGCCTACCCCCTGCATCATGGTAAGCTGTCGAAGTCTTCCAAGATTCATCGTATCATATTGTATCGACTGTTCGTGCAAGATTCATCGTCGTTGGTTCATGCCAAGGCTGAAGCGACCATCGCGGCCTCGTTGCTGATCGAAGACGCAGAGGCTTCTCGGCCGAGCTTGAAGAGCCTCAAGACCGGCTGAGTGAAATAGACGTGAAGATACGGGCAGCTGTCGCATGCTGTAGCTGCTGTCAGGCAGCTTTGTTGAATATAGACTAATATGATCTAATATGAAACTTTGACATATTATCCTACGTAGGATGATAAACTACTACATTGTAGGTTCAGAGAGCTGGGGCTGCTTTGGCACTCTGGGAGCTAAGGCCAGCGTATCCACAGTATTGATTCCAGACGAGGACTTGGATTTGGATGAGATTGGAGGCACAATCTCCTGGGCTTGCGTCTTAGAACTCGTGAACTCCAACTGGTTGTGAGAAAACTGATTTCGATTGATTTCAACAGTTGCACCAGCCCTGTTTTGTGTTTGTTGCTCAAGCTGAACAAGGTACTAGCAATAGGACCAGCTGGTGCTTGTATATTTTTCAGGAGAACTTCAGGTAGAGCAACCATGACGGCCAAAGACTGCTGGCTCAAGGATCATTTCCACTGAAAGACACGTTCGAGCAGGAAGCTGTTTGAAGCAAGGTCGAACCTGTTGGTGCCGGATTCGATCGTGTGGAGCATTACAACATTTACCTTTCGCTTTCGGCCGAGCACTCAGAGTGGCTTTGGCTTTTGACATCTTTTGGATGTGTCACAGGATGGTATAAGTATCAGTATAAGTATAAGGTTAGCAGCTCTTAGCATTGGCTACTTAGACCTACTTAGTTGGAGGCCATCCCTAGTAGGTTGGAGGCCATTGCCATTAAAATAGTAGCGTCCTTGCTCCTAGTAGTAAGGCCAGGAGCCCCCAGTAGCATCCTTGCTCCTAGTAGCGATGCTAGGAGCCCCTAGTAGCGTCCTTGCTCCTATTAGTAAGGCCAGGAGCCCCCAGTAGCCCCTAGTAGCGTCCTTGCTCCTAGTAGCGATGCTAGGAGCCCCTAGTAGCGTCCTTGCTCCTATTAGTAAACCAGGAGCCCCCAGTAGCGTCCTTGCTCCTAGTAGTAAGGCCAGGAGCCCCTAGTAGCGTCCTTGCTCCTATTAGTAAGGCCAGGAGCCCCCAGTAGCGTCCTTGCTCCTATTGAGCCCCCAGTAGCGTCCTTGCTCATTAGTAAGGCCAGGAGCCCCCAGTAGCGTCCTTGCTCCTAGTAGTAAGGCCAGGAGCCCCTAGTAGCGTCCTTGCTCCTAGTAGCGTCCTTGCTCCTAGTAGTAAGGCCAGGAGCCCCTAGTAGCGTCCTTGCTCCTAGTAGCGATGCTAGGAGCCCCTAGTAGCGTCCTTGCTCCTAGTGGCGATGCCAGGAGCTCCTAGTAGCGTCCTTGCTCCTAGTAGTAAGGCCAGGAGCCCCTAGTAGCGTCCTTGCTCCTAGTAGCGATGCTAGGAGCCCCTAGTAGCGTCCTTGCTCCTACTAGTAAGGCCAGGAGCCCCCAGTAGCGTCCTTGCTCCTAGTAGTAAGGCCAGGAGGCTGTAGTAGCGTCCTTGCTCCTAGTGGCGATGCCAGGAGCTCCTAGTAGCGTCCTCTATTCGCCTCTTTTCTTTAGCATAGTCCAGTTCCACTTGAGCTGTGCAGTGATGTGTGCCTCAGGCTGCCCGCCGCTCGGGCGATGCGCGGGTCGTTTCGATTCCGCGGGGTCAGAGCTCCGCCGATTTGGCCGCCGACACGGCAAAAGCCAACTTCGAGGTGGGGAGAAGCGGAGCAGAGCGAAGGATGACAGATTGGGATTCATTGAACTCGTTTTCAGATGCTTTATTTTTGGATTTTGTTTGGGTCTAAGTCGAAGTTGATTGCTCCAAACAATGCCAGGGCAAAAGATTGGGCAATGTGCAAGTTCCCTTCATGTTGGAATTAGGGTCAGGATGCAAACCTGTCAACTTCTGAGTCTTGAACCTGTCAACAAGGCGAGGCTAGTAGTAACAAGGGCATCGCTACTAGGAGCAAGGACGCTACTAGGGGCTCCTGCCCTAACTACTAGGAGCAAATAGCTACTATTAGTAGCGTCCTTGCTCCTAGTAGCGATACCCTTTGTTTGTAGTAGCTTCTTGTTCCGAGTAGTAAGGCCAGGAGCCCCTAGTGGCGTCCTTGCTCCTGTCAACCTGGCGAGGCCTTACTGGTTTCCACCGAGTCGATGCTAACTGAGCAGTCAACACCCGCCTTCGCACTCCTTTCTGACACCCACGCCCTCATCACCAACCTGTGCCCTGGCAAGACTCAGGAAACCTTCACACAGAATATGACATGGTCACAGAGTTGGTCACGGTTCAAGATGAATACTATCATCATAGCATCACAATTAGGCTTATATAACTTCTATTTGAAGGGAAGCAGACACACATGGTTTTCTTACATTGGAATGCTCCGCAGGATGTAGTAATAGGATGTGCACACAACCATCATCTCTTTAGATTCAAGCTAGACAGAGACTTAGGTCATTTGCAGACCAAGACTTGGACTTTGATGACATTGGCGGCACGCTTTCGTGGGTGGAGCCAGAAGACGATGGCTTTGTTCAGTCCTACTTCATTTACCAAGCCTTGCCGCTGGAGGAGAAACCCTAGTGTCGAAGTACCGAGTGTCGACCTGCAATTCGCTGTGTGTACTCAGCTTGCGCGTGTTTATGTTCACCAGCCCTTTGCCTGCAATGCCCAATCACCCAAAGAGAAGGACATGTGCAAGGATACTGTTCTTGACGAACTGGCCTGTATCGGTCTTTTGCTTTGATTTCGCTTTGTACTGTATTTATACTTTGGAAAGCAAACGTAATTTGTCTTTCAGATGAGCCAAACGGTCAAACTTCGCCTTGGTATGTTCAGGAGGCTATGCCACTGGGCCTTTGCGGATCTCCTCTAGTTGTGGACACACTGCTTAGCGGCAGCCTGCGGCTTACTATGCCTGGAGTCACTGCACAGGAGCTGGCAGTAGCAACTCGGTCCGCAATTGCGGTAACCACTGAAGTGAGACAAAGTGAGGCTTGAAGCATGCTCAATCAAGAAGAGGGGGGTGAAACATGATTGATAGAAGCGCAGTTAGTGGCCGGTTGAAGTTGGATGCTTAAAGGAAGCCACAAACTATCCACGCTGGAAAGCAAGAAGGCCAGTAGCTGGGTAGCTCCAGGGCCCAAGAAGCTAATGCTTGACCTTGTTTGTAGCAGCACAACCATGCCTTAGGCGATTCGAGCTGCCTTGTCACAGGCTCTGGACATGTCCAGATGACTTGTTTCGGTAGTTTGAATGACAGTCCTCTGATTTTTAGAACGTCTCAAACATGCTTACGTCACCAGCAACTAAGTTGAATTTCCGAAATTCTGCCAGTAGGAGCAGTTCAGTTCGAAGTATTTTGAGACAGCCGTTTGTTCCGTTTGTTTGTTTTCAGGCCCTGGGCATTCCTTTGACCAGCCTCTTCGTTACAGTCACATCCGTGTCTCTTCGGCGGCTAGCCGAAGAGCGACGTCTGAGTCAAAGCTGGCAGGTGACCTATCAGGCACACTCATTTGGGGCAGCCTGCTTTTACTTTTTTTGCCAGTGACACAAAACCGACCTGTTGTGTGATGAGGAATCTAGGTTGATCCGTGTACAGTGCATATATGGGCAGAATCGATGTGTTGTCCACGGGAAAGTCATTTACGTAAATGACTACAGCTACCAAAACAGCACTATATACATCACTGCTTTGGTCATGACATCTCACCTTTCATCGAGGCCTCCATCAGCAATTCATTGGCTGCCTCAGTTTCAGAGAAGAGCAATCTTTTCCACGCACAGCCAGCGAGCTTTGCAGTAGCTCAGCAGCAGAGTATCATCAGGTCTTGAAAGAAGTTGAACTTCCTGTTTGGTCACAGGGTGTAGGACATGCACAGATGGGGCTCTTCCCTGATTCTAGCCCAATGCCACAGATGATTTCCCAAGGTACATCTTTCCGTTCAACTTGTGACAATTGGCGTTGATCCTGCTGGACTTGTAATCGAGGAGCAACTTGCAGTTCTAGATTCGGCTTAGATTCCATCCACAGAAAGTTTTTGACCCACATCTCGTGAGGAGTTTTCACAAGTGGTGCCAGCCTCAGTCCAATCTGGGAAAGGCATTGATTCAGGAGCAAAACAACTCTGGTTCGTGCCAAAAAAGAGCATGCCCAAAAAGTAAAACGACTGCAACCTAAGGAGATCATTTCACTCGTGACCAACAGTAACAAGACGTCTATGATGGACAACCTCACGAGCCTGGTCTGTTGTATTTTCCGCTTTTATGTCTCAGCATTGTAGCTTCTTGTTACTAGTAACGATGCCAGGAGCCAGGAGCCAGGAGCCCCTAGTAGCGTCCTTGCTCCTAGTAGCGATGCCCTTTGATACTAGTGGCGTTCTTGTTCCTAGTAGACTCAGCATCAAGGGATTTGAGAAAACAGCTTTCCGGACCTGAAAGGAGCGGAGAGATGAACATATCAGATTCCGAAGACAGTGATTCAAGGGTCTTGAGGAGTGCTGAATCCTTGGTCTGAGTCCGAATGGAATCATCTAGAACCTATAGTAGTCTGCATATGACAACTCCAGTTTCCGGACTGGACTCTTCATGCCAAACAAGGCGAGCTTTTTGGCATTGTGGTTACACAGCCATCGCAGCCAGGAGTGAAGATTCTGACTACTCTGACTTCGACAGTTCCAAGGCAGCATGCCGGTTGGACGTCATTCTTTTTGTTCGTGTGATGGTTTGATTTGGTCAAGAGATCTCCAGAGTTGCAAAATGGCATGTACCATATTTTTCTGTGTCAGCAGATCATCTTGAGTGTTTGGTTTGCTCATATCTTGAATGTGACTCGAAACTAGTGTCTATTTTCATTGTGTCCTTGGATTTCGAAAGACGCCCTTTAGCTTTTTGGTGCTGTGATTCTAGAGACTGTCTTTATTTTGCTTGGGAGTTCCTCATTTTGCCGGAAGGATATGCCTCGGCGGCTTTCATCTCAGGAGGTGAACCTTACCGCCTCGTGACAGAACGATCAGTGTTTCACATTGATCAACATCTATAGTCTATAATATACTAGGAGCAAGGACGCTACTAGGGGCTCCTGGCCGTGCTACTAGGAACAAGAAGCTACTAGGCTCCTGGCATCGGTACTAGGAGCAAGGACGCTACTCTGGACGAAAGCTCGAAATGGAGTCTCATCGGTGCTGTTTGAGGCCTGGTGTCGTGGAGCTCTTCTGGGGAACGTGTCAGCAGGACAGATCTCAGCCAGTGCACGCGGACTGCAGTTTTGGACATGTATTGCGAGAAAGGTTCTCCACTGTTTATTTGAATGGAGGCCATCGCTATTTGGTTGGAGGCCATTGCTAGGTTGGAGGCCATTGCTATTAAATAGCTTACATATTTGATGTTCTTTGTGTTCAGGCTTTGACATCTTTGACTCAGTTCCATGCGGAACAGTACCTTCGAAGCTGCAGGAAACAGTACCTTCGAAGTGCCACCAGACCTGCAGCTCTCTCCTTACAGTTCCTAGGCCGACCTAAGCTTGGACGCTACTAGGGGCTCCTGGCATCGCTTCTAGGAGCAAGAAGCTACTAGGGCTCCTGGCCTTACTACTAGGAGCAAGGACGCTACTAGGGGCTCCTGGAAGAATTCGTTTCCCACCCACATGGCTGCAAAAGAATCCAAGTACTTCATTGCTCCTTCATGTTGAGAGCACCCTCTCAGCTCCAGGTTACTTCGTGGTGTATGCGGCATCTGCCTTGCAAGAGCAGAGCACGCCAGCTTTTGTCAAGGCCACCAGGGTTGATTTGTTTAAACGGCTTGACAACGGCTTCAGCATCCTTTTGGTGCGCGTTGCGATTGTCTAAGACAAGAAAGTGGAGCGCGACAAAAGCGATGGGCTCCCTGAAGGTTGCAGACACCAGCGCTAGCGTTTCCGCCTTGCACTTTCAGGGCAAGGACACAGCCATTTTCTGCTTATTTGCTTGGTCGATGTGGTTGAAGCAGAGCATGAAGCGCAGGATCTGGATGTGGATCATTTGGGCGGAAATCTCACATGGCAACTCCCCTTGAATTTGGACTTCGTATCTTCGTGCCCTGGAGCAGTCTAGATGCATCACGCTGAAATGTACAGGGAAAAGAAGGTAAGGGCCCCTTATATTAGGGCCGCTTTTGAAGGGGGGCGTATGAAAGGGGCCTTTGCCTTTCTTTTTTAATCTCTTCATTTCAGAGAACAGTCAGAATAGCCACCACGGAACCTTGCCCCTTTGTGCGCTTCGTATATTGCCTTGCCAACTGCTGAAGAGTTCAAATAAGGAGGTATGTGTTGTAGCAGAGCCAACGCCGCAACAAGCCGTTAGATTTGTCAGCTTTTGACTTGCGCAGATATGTGGTCTACCTGGCAGAGAGCGCATTCGGTGCTCAACGCTCACAACTGGGGCAGGAGTTACCACCAGAGAGACGCTTCCAGGAGGCAACACAGAGGGGCCTTTTGCTTGACGGGAGCCAACTTCATGAACTGCAGCATTCCATGTGCAGCAGTGGACTCTCAAACAACATGTGGAAACTACCCATGCAATGTTTGTGTTGAAATGGACAATTTTGCAGCTGTAGATTTGTGGATGCTGAACCGCAATCCATGCTTTGCGTTTCATTCCACATGCAACAAATAGACAGGGAAACGTCGTGCAGGTGCCTCCTGACACACTTCGACTGTCCTTCAATCACTTTACTGTTTTTGCCAAGTCCCCCTTGGCAGAGCCTTGGCAGAAGCATGGATGTGCATGTAATTTTGCATGCCATTTGCCCCATCCGCAAGAATAGAGAATATTAAACTCGGTGAGATGGCAGTCCCTTCCCCGTTTGGACCTTTCCTTCTCGGACCTGAAGGAACAGACCACTCCGGCGTCCTTGGCTTTCTTCGATGAGTTGCTCGGCATCGCCTGAAAGCGCTTTTGAGGATCTCAAGCGGCACAAGACATTGGAGTTGATCTCATTGGGATTGGATTCAAGTTTCTGTGGAATACGCTCCGAGATGTTGAAGCAGAAAGCAGATCTGAGCAGGTCGATTGCATGTGATTGCGTCCCGACAGACCGTGGGTGAATTAGAGGCACCACGATCTACTTTTGCAGCTCACAGAAGTGAGGTTTGCCATGGCATCGAACATGAGCTTCACAGACCTCGATTTGGATGCCCTGGAGATCGGGGGCAATCTCAGCTGGTATCCGCCAGAAGATGCTAGCGAGGTCACGGAAACTTGTGCTGCACAGGCATAGCCATTAAAACCTACTACAGTATTTGGATCATTTTGGATCTATTTGGTAGCACTGAGTTGCACAATGTTGTAGCATGTTGTAATATATTCTTTTGTAGTGCTGGGCTTAACTTTATAGTCAATCCCCGACGGTCTTAAGAATTGCAATCGACCTTTGAGATTAACTCAGGATTATTTGATCTATCTCGCTGAAGATGCACAAGGAAGCAATCGGCAACTTGACACAAGCAAATTCATCATGTCATATCATGTAATACAGTCAAGTGAAGTGGCGAAGTCGCATCCGTTTTTAGTTTCCTTGTGGTTAGAGAGTTCTTAATATTATTTGGTGAGCAATTTTTGGAAGCTGTGGCTTATGTGGCTGTGGTTCACATGACATGAGCAGAAGTTCCCATGCGCAATGCACATCCCTAAATAACTTCAAGATGTATAGCCATGGCCTGAGTTTTTACACTAGACAAAAGAAATCAGCACGGAGTTGGTATTCAGAGTGACCTCCAGGTCCCTTGTGGGCGTTGTGCCAGTGGGAATTCACGACCTGGCCATTCCGGCAGAGACGCCATTGGCTTCTTTCACCCACCTGAGCCTTTGTCCAGCACGTCTCATCACATTCGATGTGTCCAGGAAAGTGCTTAAAATTAAATTAATAGCTTCTTGTTACTACTAGTAAGGCACCTGTTACTACTAGCGTGGCACTTGTTCCTAGTAGCTTTCTTTTTTTGTTCGCGGAGCTTTCATGTTGTGACACCTTATCACACTTGTGACACCTTATGTATTTGAGGGATTTTGAGGGATCGTGACCGGGTTCTCGATGGAGATTGGGAGCTCGCGAAACCATAGTGTGTTGCTCATCAACCTCTCATTTTGGAAGCATGTAATTTCGACAATTTCGACATGTTTTGAAATCAAAAATCCCACTTCATCATTTTGCTGCTGCGCAGGAAGCCGTGACGACAAGTTGGTGTTTTCATATCATTGCTGCAACAAATAGAATCATTGTGGCTTCATTCATTCATGTTGTCATGTTTGACGCTGATGATGGATGCAATGTCAGGACAGTGTTTGCCAGATCATCTCTGTCGGAGCAGACAACCCCCATGAGCCTGCCCATTGTGGACAGCGTCGCCAGCGTCACATGTCACGAATTTGTTAGGTTCAAGGTGACATCAGGCGAACTGACTCGCACCTCAAAACTCAAGATCTGTTGATATTTGTTGTATTTTCTTGATGCCTCGTGCCTTCCTTCATTGTCAGTTTGTGTTGGGCCCAGAAACAGGCCAAGAATTGATTAGTGTTTATTCGCAGTGCCTCAAACGGATGCATCTCAAGTCTGAGGTCTCTGAAGTAAACTTCACTGATCTCGACCTGGATGCCGGAGATCTTGGTGGCGCACTAGCCGCTCGGCATGGAACGTTTGCATCTAGTAGCGAACCTTGTTACTACTAGTAAGGCACCTGTTACTACTAGCGTGGCACTTGTTCCTAGTAGCTTCTTGTTACTACTAGTAAGGCACCTGTTACTACTAGCGTGGCACCTGTTCCTAGAAGATGCTTTTCAGAACGATTTCTTCAACTCACATTCTTAATAAGATCTATTTTGAATGCACTTGCCAAGGTGTGGACCTTGCCTAGCAGCGACTTCGAGTTTCTTTGCCCAAAAGCGATCGCACGCAAGATGCCCTCCAATTCCATCATACGAGATCCAGTTTACAAGTGGGACATAGTGAGAGTTCACATGCCCATGGCCTTTGCAGTTTGAACCGGCTTTTCAGATTGGCATCAATTTCAATCTAGTCCGTAGCAACAGTCCTGGCATGGACCACAGATCTCATTTGTGGGATTTCCGTGTGGACGTGGACTCAATTTTGGACAGAATGGCTACATGATTGCATCATGCTACATTCAGGTTGGTGGACTCCTATCTCCTGTACTTTGCCACAGGCACCTTGGGTGAATTCTCTCCCAAGCAACATGCAAAAAGTATCGAACAGTCGGGGACATTGACATGGCCTTTAAGATTTGCTTAGAATCTTAGAAGCTTGTGTTTCAGCATTGGCCACAGCTGGACATAGGCATCGATGGAAGTGGTCGCTCCCTCTTGGGCACAGTGGGCCCGGAACGTGGCTTCCTGACGCTGCCTGTGGACACACCACTCCAAGGATTCACGCATTTGAAGCTCGGTGACAAGTACTGTACCGATTGCCTTCCACAGGCACTAGATGGCACTAGAATCAACTGGAACAGCTGTTTTGGAATGGACATTAGGAGACTCAGGAATCATCGGTTTCATTTCTATTGCTACTACACTGACAAGTCCCTGAAACGTCCACACGTTTGATTTTTAGCACCGCGTACCGCCCACTTGTCAAGACTGAGGCTTGTCTACACCAAGTCTTCCTTGGTCGAACAGCATCTGGGCCTGCATGTTAGCCAGTCCCAAAGCACAGGTTGAGAAGCGCTGCACCCACCAGTCTCTATATATCTCTTTTTGCAATGTGTGCGACATACATTGTCATTGATGGAAGGTCCTGAACTGAGTCCAACTATCTCTTGCCCTTTGGTAGTATGGAGGGTCATACGTGTGGCAGAAGAAATCCAGAATTGTAGGGCTTTAGGCAGTTCGACTCACCGATAAAGTACCCTTCTCCTGGTCTCCACGTCAAGAGCCTCACGGCCCGTTCCGAGGACAACCCCGGTGGGAACCGTGATATATGACTTGGGTGTTTCTGCCAGCAATTTGAGTGACTCTGATGCAAGCTGGCTGGGAAGTGAGTGGTGGCTGTTCTTATCAGTGCCAACAATATCCAGCGACTACAGTGTCCATTCTTGTCCGTATTTTGTTCTCCAATCCTTTGAGTGAACCGGATCTGGAATAGATCGGGCAAAGACTTCAAGTCACCGAGGTTTCCCCGACTTTGACCTCGACGCAACTGACCTGGGCGGAAATCTCACTTGGGCGGAGCCAGAAGAATTGGACCTGGTGAAGTCCTACAAGGCCAGGAAGTAGCGGATTTGTGCGGATTAGGAACAAGAAGCTACTAGGGGCTCCTGGCCATACTACTGTACTAGGAGCAAGGACGCTACTAGGGGCTCCTGGCATCGCTACTAGGAGCAAGGACGCTACTAGGAGCATAAGCGGATTTGTGCGGATTGTGTTCTCCCCTCAGATGACCAACCTTTCTTTCGACAGACTGGAAGCACTGTTGGCTGCCTTCAGGTCTATTTCGGTGTAGCACAAGATGAGTCCAACACATCAGATAGTGCAACTGAGTAGCATCAGGCTCATAGACATGCTCAAAATGCCAAAAAGGCAAATGATCCACCAAGAGGTACTGCTACTGTACAAAAGATTGTTTTAACATGTTGGGTTCCAATTTACATAACATGTTTCAAGGTCCATGTTCATGCTTCATGCAGCGTGAACAGCCGAGGCTATGGATTTCGCTGACCGGCAATTGCTTGGCGAGGTGTCTGTGGGTATCACAGAGCCCTGACTGGTGAGGCCAATTCAGCTTCAAGCAAGTCTCGGTTCCGCTTATCCGGTTTGGATCTGTTCAGAACAATGCAGAAAGTTGATAGAGATTCCTCAAAAGCCGTATCCTTTTGGACCATGGCAACCCAACTTGCCTTCCCAAGGAACTGGTGATTCCTCCTGAGACACCTTTGGAGAACTTCACTCACATCTTGATCTATCTAACATCTTCCCTGGCAGAGCAAACCACACCTGCAAGCAGCTTGTCTCAGGGTTTTCGAGGGGGTGAAAACTGGCCGTTGAACATGTATATATATAGGTGTATATATTATATATTATATATATACTGTTTGTATATATATATATATATGAGTCCTTTTCGTGCAGATGACAACTTCCGACCCATTGCTACCTGTCAGGATGTTGATGCACTTGAGCTAGTCCAAGGTGACGCTTTCGAAGCACCAAACATAAAACTAAACCATGAAACGCACCGAGTCTGAAGAAACACCAAGTCAGGCTTGCCAATCCTCGATGTGGCCGCAAGTGCGTCTCAAGTGAACTTTACAGATGAGGAGAAGCTTGCTGTCCACCAACAAAAATGAGCCACAACTGATTGCAGAGGTAGACGGGTTGCCTCGAAGCTTCAGGGTGTATACTTACTGTGTTACCTGTTGACGGCTCTTGCAGCAAGCTCTATTGAATCCGAGAAATATATGCTTTGCTCTTCCGGCTCTTCTGTGTAATTCGTAATTCCAATGGTGTTGGGGTGGTAAAATTAGCTTGACGTTTGCAGGACTTGGATGAGAGTGAACTTGGAGGTAACATCACCTGGTCAGAGCCCCACGACCACTATGGGCGTCTTCTTTTCTACAGAAACTTGGCGTTTTCAGAGATCTTGGCTTCGTCAAACCACGGTGTCAAAAGTTCCGCCATGTTTCCTCAATTTCCAACCTTGCATTCTGTTGGCCCAGGAGTATACTTCCAATCTGGCGCTTCCCGTGAGACGTTGGACGCGCCTTGGCCGACAGACACATCTTGTGACGTGGTATGTCATTAACATTGGATGGCCATGGGCCAACGGATAGCTTTCACTTTGTATTCTTGCCTGGTTTCCTGAGTATTTTGGCCGAGCCACCTGCACTCCAATGGCCGCACTCAGGAGGTTTTGCAAGGCACCACTGAAGTGGCTATTCCAGCTGAAACCCCGCAAAGCGCAGCTTGGTTTGCCGAAAAATATCCTGAGTCTTGCGCAGTACCAATCTCGAATTTCTCGCTAAGTAGCTTGTCACCATTCCTGGGTCACTACTAGCTTCAGCAAAATGGATGCATTTTGGCGACTTGCGCTCCAAAACCACATAAAACCACGACAGTAAGATTGAGCTCACTCAGTGCTTGAGAATCTAAGGGGTTTAGCCATGTGGCAATATACACGGTCTCTGCACTGATAGAGCAGACGACTCCATCGATGCTGCTGATTGAGGACACAGTGGCTAAGATCAATATTGTGTGCAGGCATTATGTCATCAATTAATTACTTACTTGTTTAGACTTCAACTTCAACGATATATTTTCTTTCTGTCTGTACTTCATTTTCCTTTGACACTATAAATCAAGGCGCGCAGTGTATTGTATTGTCAAGACTTGCGGTAGACCTCTGCACAAATAAGATGCGGCATCGACTGAGGTGGCACGCGTCAGCAACCTTAGCTTTGAAGCAACTCAACTGCGAAAAAATTAAAGGAATGAAAAAAGGTTTCATGAGTTTGATGTTAATTGATGTTAATGTTGAAATGTGGACAGTGATAGTGTCATGTAGCCAGTTCTTACCCCTACCCCTTGTTGAATCTGAATTTGTGTCCTTTGAATTTGAGGACCTGGACTTGGACGACAAAGAGTTGGGTGGCAACTTGACATGGCTTGAGCCGATCGATATGACGCAAGTCACATCTTATGCTGGAAACTCAGACTGACGTCAAGTGTCCCAAACCAATTCCCAAGTTTATGTTTTCCGAAATCTTGGACCTTTGCTTCCTCGTGTTGCAGTCTCCACCATGCCATGCCAAGGCCGTATACTTTGCTCTCTCTGCCAATGCACCTTGGCAGCTCACCAACCTGTTGTTGACCAAACAAGACATGACACTCCTGACATCATGTGGCCTTGTGGTCTTTGATGGTCTTTGAGCTGAGGAGTCGACTTGTGCAGGCGATGGCTTTCGGATGCGCACGTGAGAGACAATTGGCAGAGGAAGATGGATGAAACATGATGAAACCATATGAAACCACTTCTGCTTAGTCACTGCTTGGTGCATGAACGACTGTAGATCACTGTACTCAAACCTTATAGACGTGTATTACTGTATTACTGTATTATCCAAAATTTGGCCTATCATGCTAGTATGGGCAGAAACCCCTTTCGATGGCCTATCCTTCTGATTTGTGCCAGCAAATAGAAGCAAATGATACAACCTATTTCTTTCGTGTACAGGCGACGGTCCGTTGTTCGCTCGACAGTCAGCTTTGGTGCAGCCGCTCGGCGGGAGTGCGACTGCCACGGAGTTAGAGTTAGACGTGCTCATGCATTTGCAGTCATGATAATTCGCCCTTTCGGGTTTGGGTCCGCTTGCCTGAGCACCAGAATACCTTGCAGTGCGAGTGGTAGTTTCTTTGATATGCACTGTTCCTTTGGTTTCTCCCCTAAAAGCTCAGAAATGACCAGAGACGGAGAGAGCCTTTTTGTCATGAGGTCCTTTTGCCGTGGGAGCTTCTTTGCTGCGGCAGATGCGGGCGACTTGCTCATGGAAGTGCCACCAGAAACTGCCACAGGCGACACCGATCCGTACACCGATCCGATCGATGATTTGTCCTAAGCATGCTTTGAGACACATCTACGATCATCTACGGATTCTTTGGATTCTTGATATTTCCTGATTCTCGCCGATGCTAGCCCGTGATTGGTACAGTACTATCGCCACACGTTTGATCTCAGCTCATGGGAGGCGGTTTCAGTCACTTTTTGGTGTATGCTTCCTCTGCACTAGCGGAGCAGAGCACCCCTGCGTTCCTACAGATAGATGACCGACGTGCCATCGCAGCTAGGCCTGATTCCTTTGATTTAGTCGTTTGTCGGGCGAAAGGATTTGAGATAGAAGACCAAGTAGATAGTGGATGAATCAGCCCTGAAGAGAGGTGATCATGCCCTTGGAGCTTTGTGAGTTCTTTGGTTGAGTAGATTGTTTTACCTTCAGTGTCTTCATATTCTCTCAGCTGAGGCCTCATCAGTGAGCTTTGACGATTTCGATTTAGATCTTGGCGAACTGGGAGGGACGTTGAGTTCCTTGGGCTTTTGCATAGTGGTTCATCCGGCGATTGTGCTAGGGGAATCAAAGCGATTAGAAGGGGTAAGTAAGCTTCGAATACAGTTGAATCAAGAAGGCAAGAGGAAAGAAGAAGGTAAGGGTCTCTTCAAGAAGGTCTTACATGTTTATTTAATCTTTTTGTTTTGTTTTGATGTCTCATCATATTCTTAACCTTGGAATGGTCTTCAAGCATCGCGGCACCAAGGCTGGGTCCCTGCTTTCGACGTACACTTGATCACCATGTTCAATGTCTACTTAGCCACAGATGCCTTCGGCGCAGACAGGCATTTTAGCATTTAAGAGTGTGTGTTTGTATGATTTGTTCAACAATCTGAAACTTTCTTGTTTGTTATCAAATCATAGCATTGCTGCCTTTGACAGGGAGATGAAGCTGTCCAGCAGCAGCAGCAGTGTTGCCATTGTGCCTGACACTCCGCTGCGGTCACTTGGACACAGTTGACCCACTCTTTGGCCTAATTGCAAAAAGGACTTTAAGGAACCCAGTAGCAATGTCCTCCAACCAAATAGCAATTGCCTCCAACCTAATAGCGATGGCCTCCAACCTACTAGTCTATGTTGCAAGCACCCCTGAACCACCTTGGCCTTCAACTAGCTAGTGCCACCCTGATGCCTTGTGCCCAAGTGAGACCTTACCACATAGTTCGCCTCCGGGGGATTCTCAGCACCCTGTGCTTGGCTACTGTTACCATATGTCTCCCGTATTTTCCAAGCAGCGGCTGTAGCGAGCTTCGGTCGACTGGACGAAGCAACTTTCCTTTTTACCCATACCCATGGCCTCACTTTTTTGTTCAGCTCTAGAACTGCAGCTGTTTGTGGCGTTTTGCTCCCAAACTGTTGTGTTTCAATCAAAGAAAACGGAAACAACATCAATTGTCAGGATTAGGAACAAGAAGCTACTAGGGGCTCCTGGCCATACTACTAGGAGCAAGGACGCGACTAGGGGCTCCTGGCCTTACTACTAGGAGCAAAGGCTGCTGCATGGAGTCTGTCGGCCCTAGGAGCTTCACTCATTTGCTGATCTACGCAGCTTCCTCCCTGGTCGAGCAGTCTACCCCGGGCGCGTTGCTCTTGGCAGACACAAGTGCCACAGCAGAGAATTTGCATCTTGGAGCATAGTGGAGAAAGATGTTGGTATGAGCTGTTGCAGCCGGCAGTCGACGTGGTTTGGCCCATTTGCAGTGAACACAGTATTGCAGCAGCATTGACAATTGAATGGGACTTTAGCAACAGTTTTCATCAAGATAGATAGATAGATAGATACTTAGATACTTAGATAAAGACAAGAACGACAGACAGATAGTGGACAGAAAGAACATCCCTTAACAAGCTTGGGCAATCGTGATTGAACTCGCATTGCTGAAGTACTTTGATGAGATTGGGAGGATGGGAAGCACTTGTTACTAGTAGCTTCTTGATACTAGTAGAGATGCACTTGTTACTAGTAGGTGGGGAGGATGTAGGCTTTATTTTTGATCCTCATCTCAGTCCAGCCTTCTGTCAGGTCGCTGCCGGACTTTGACCTTGATGAGAAGGATTTGGGCGGTACATTAGCTCCTCGTCCCGATCGTCCGGAGTGGATAAAGAGTCGGGAAGTAACCCAGAATGCTAGGGGAGGCTGAAAAAGCAAGACTCTTCATGACATTTCAAGACTGTTGATTCATCACAGGAGTTTAACAATGTTTAAGCCGGTACCAAGATGTTTTTTCATCACTCAAAGGCGCGCATGAGTCAAGTCACTATTCCCCCGCTAGGCGTGGGACGAGCCCTTGGACACTACAAAGGCGGGCCGAAAGCAGTGAAGTGCAAAGAGCTTCATGTCAATGTGGGCATCGCTTTTCTTTGGTATCCAAGGCCTTTTGGTGTCTGTATAGTGGTTTGTAGCCCCGCAAGAAAAACACAGTCCTTCGCATATACTAGTCCATAGTAATTTGATGCTTGTTCCATATTATAGACTCCGGGGGTAGGAGACGCAGGGGGCTAAGTAGGATCTTTTGGATGCCTTTGCATGTGTCTTTGGTCTTGTCTTTTGTAAATTACATTAAATAAAATATACCTGAAATGTTCACAATTAGATATATAGCTTTCCTTTTTTTGGTAGCCGTTGAGAGTTTTTCCCTTCCAGGTCACCCACTATGTGGTGTACTTTGTGAATGCAAACAACTCCAATGAGTCAGACACACGACGCTTGTCCGACTCTACATACACGACTCCAATGTGCAGCTGGTGATGGCTTTCCTATCCCTGGCGATGAAGTGAAAAAAAGCCGGACTCTGCCAGAGCAGTGCATGCACTCTACATCGTTTCCTTTTTTTGGACGTCGTTTTGCTTCAGAGCCCAGGAGCATACTTCGACAATGTGTCCGTTGGAATTGACACGCTGACCATCCCAACTGATACTGCACTCACAGGCTGACAAGCGAAGAGCACAAGCTGAGTACATTCTCTGATAATCATTTTCTTGCACGCAAGATCCAAACACCATGAGATGACCTGAGCTTGAGACTTCTTGCGATGATCTACTTGGTTTTCAACGATGCTAAAAAGCATTCTATATTTACAAATGATGTATTGGCTCATCTGGTTGCATGTTGCCGCGTTGCCTTTTGTTTGTCCTTTTGCATCTATGACAAGCAGATTGAAACCATAGTAGGCTATGGGGGGCCTTGTGGTCAGCACCCACGTGGCCATCTATACGCTGTCGACCCTGGTGGAGCAGACGACCCCTGCCATGTTGGAGATTGTCAATGCCATTGCTTCGGTTTCTGGGACCAGCTTCGTGGACAAGGTCCCGTCTCAACGTGTCATGATGGTGAATCCAATTTGGTTTCACTTGTTGTTTTGACCTCTGACCTTCCTTTTTTGCTCCTTGTCCTTGCTCCGCTTTCTTACTTCTAACATCGATGAAGATGCTTTACTAGGAGCAAGGACGCTACTAGGGGCTCCTGGCATCGCTACTAGGAGCAAAGACACTAGTGGCTCCTGGCATCGCTACACTAGGAGCAAAGACCCTACTAGGGGCTCCTGGGCTTGCTACTAGGAGCCAAGACGCTACTAGGGGCTCCTGCTTTGTGACTTTGGTGGCTTTGCTCCACGGTGCAGGACTTGGACGCATCGGATTTGGGTGGCCGAATCACTTGGCAAAACCCAGCAGATATCTCCAAGGCACAATCTGTTGTGGTTTAGGGTGTAGGGTTTAGGGCAGAATCAGCTGTAAGTCGTGTCCAGAATCTACTTTCCAAAGCAACAAGATCAATTCCACGCTCCTTGTCCGTAAAGCTGTACCCTTTTGTCGAGAAAGGTAATTGCATATAACATCTACCTGGCAGAGGGCATGGATGGAACAAACCGCTCTCACAGCGGAAGCAGTGCTGGACAGGGGAACGGCGAAAGGGGTTGGATGAACAAGAAACGCAATTTATATGTGTTTTCGTGCGCAACTGCATGATTACTAATTACGACAAGCAGTGAGTGCTGCCTCATTATGAGGCACGTAAGTGTGGTTTTGAAGGTGTTCACACTGAGTTATATAAGGCTAGATAATCATGTGGAGTAGTTGGCAACCCATCAGCACAGGAGCCAACTTCCTGGACATCATACCTGATACGCCTTTGGAGTCCTTCTCGTATCAGAGAAGCATGTTAGCTCTGGAATTGCTTCAGCCCCAAGACACCCTTTGATTAAAGAAACACTCTTCAGTCGTCTAACCGCAGAAAAGTGTCTTGACTTGCTAATGTGGTGCTCGCGCCTAGGCATATTTTGGTCTACACCCAATCGTCTTTGGTCGAGCAGACTACTCCAAACACATTCCTCTTGAGCGATGCAGCCTCAACAGTATCCTTGTCGCATGGACTCAGTCTGAACTCAGACGCCGGCGTGAACAAATCAACCATGGGTATTGATGTCTAGTTTGATGACAAAGAGGCTTTAGGTTGGAGGCCATTGCTTGGCCCGAAACTTTCCACTTTCCCCAAGTGAAAGCTGAGGTGGACAACGTGAGTTTCCCTGATGAAGACTTGGACCGTGGGGATTTAGGTGGCATCTTGGAGTGGTCGCCTCCACTAGATATCTCTCAGGCCAAAGCCACACGGAGTGACAGAACCGTTTGTGTAGCTGCGTAGCAATCAGCATGGCCTGTCATGGCTTGGGATTTTTTGTGCATTGGCAGGTGACTCACTACATGGTATACTTTGGCAAGTCTATAGATTCACTTGATGATCCAGCCACTTGTGCCTTGGGCGGTCCTTTCCTGCAGAATCCAAGTGGTTCTGTCATCAACTAGATTGCTACCAAACACAGCAAGATGAACTTCCTGTAGCTTTGGTGGGGTGCGTCCGGTAGCAATAGCTTTGAACTGGCCTGTTGATTCACCAAGGTGTCACAGAATACCTTGTGAATGTCACAAACGACACGGTCCTATCCTCAATTGTGAGCTTCACAAGCCTCAAGCTTTCAAGGGCCTTGAGGGTGCTTGTGCAGTCTTTGATATTTGATATTTAATTGAAGTAAGCAAGTGGTTGCTCTTGATAAGCTCAGTAAGCAAGTGTTGCTTTCATTCGTCTCTGCCACAGCGATGCAGGTGTTGGTTGCAGTGATATCAGGGTCTCTTTCCTTTCAACTGGATGGCGCGACTGCCGCTTGGCAGAGAAGATCGGCGGGCCATGGGGCTTCCCAAAATGATCGGAGTTTCAATCCGAAGATGGTGAAGCTTCATGCAGAACCGGTGATGCTCCATGCTGTGCTCGGGCCGAAACCTTTATACGTGTTGGCCAATTTGTGACACCTGATGACACTTGATAGCAGTTTGGCACTGCTGCTTCGGATTCAGCAGCACTCTAAGGTCTCGCAAGTGGAAGAGGCCGTCCGTCAGACCTTGAGCATGTCTCTGGGAGTGTCAGTCGGGTCCCTGACGGTAACTTGGTTTGGAGTCGACAGAGTGGGACAGAGTGGGACTGGCAGCGAGTCTTGTACTTGTGAGGGCAGTGGGCATGCTGCTTGGATAGATTATCGTTCTTACCCTGCCTCAAGGTATGGGTGCAAAGTGGTCGGCGCCTGATGGAAAGGCTGCGGCTGGGCAACAAGTTAGCCAGTGATGCAAGAGACTCCAAGGGTACTGATGCCGAAAACACACTGTGATACTGAGATGTGCCTCTGTGTGTTTTCCACTAATTAGTTGCTTCATTGGCAAGAAGGTAGGCATGGAAGTTGCCTTAATGCCATTTGTTCAAGCTCTGAGGCTGGCTGCAAGCTGGTCAGTGACCTATCAGGTGGTCGTGCCCGCCGCTTCCGCCAGCAGCGTCGTCATGGTGGCCAGTGGCTTTAGCATCGGCCTCAATCTGGGGTGTTTGGAGTGATGGCGTTGTACAGTAGATGCAGATTATTCGTTTCTTCAACAGCTCATTATTAATTATATACAGTAGATCTTTAATGATTTTATATCTCGTTGCTGTACATCAATTCGCTGTATGTCATTTGGGCCATGTGGATGATGGAGAGAGGTGGTACTGGCATTTGAGGCTCTGACCTCACTAGCTTTGCCACGCAGCTAGCGCCACAGCTGGTGTCTGCAGGACATCGGAAGAGACATGTGTCACCTGACTCACTTGGGACCAGAAGGATCTGGTCACATGTAAGTTGAAGCAGTTGGATGTCACACAGTTATTTTCACACGTGAAATTCAATGATGTCACATCAACATTGGCTGACTCCGATCTTTTTTGCGGTATCTAGTTGCCTTTAGAACCTTCGTCTCGACGTCGTGACAATCAGTCCTTTGGCCCTTTCTTGTATGTATGTTAGGGACATCATCTTCTCGACGCAAGATAGAGCTTACCCTATCAGTTGCCATATCATACCAGATCCTGAAATCATCCGAAATCAAAGAACCCCTGCCATGCCAGGAGTCAGCAGCAGCGCTGTGTCTGCCTCTTTAGTCGTTTTGCAGTTCTTAGAGGTCTCGGTGGAGGTGGGTAAGTTCATTTGCACTCAATGCACAGCGTGGAATAACGATGGACAAAGCCTTGGCAAAGCGGCACAAAACTGGAGACAGAATTGAACCTGAATAAATCAGCGAGTGGAGTTTAGCACATTTCTACGAACCCATCTACGCAAGGTTGCTTGGAGGTTTGGTTTGCGAAAAAGAGCATGCGTTCCTGTCATTTTTCAGGTTGTTAGCTCTGATGTGGTTCAAAGTCTCTTGGCTCAAGAGTGCTGTCAAGCCTTTTGTAGCAATGACATGCAAAACATCCCTGCAAGCCTTGATCGTGATTGATGTCAACAAACCACTTACCCGATTTTACTCTAACAAATATGTTGAACATGTTTGCGGGCCAATCAGTGTCTTTGACCGTGCCAAAGAATCCAGTTCGGCAAGGTTTGCTGACAACTACTACTAGTACTCCAGTGCGCAACAACTCCAATGCAACTGCGCCTTGTTGGAGACAGGGTGGTTTGACGCTAGCGTCGAGCAATTTCTCGAAGGCCTCCGATTTTGATTTTCAGTTGTTCAACTGCATTAGAATTAGGAAGCGTTGTCAATTCAGGCCTGGGGAGCAGAACATATCAATAAAAATACATTGTTTTCCTTTTTCCGTAAAATCTCCTAAGGACGACTCCGAAGCAGTAATCGAGGACTCGGATGAATCGTGCCCCGGCAGTCCTATTTATTGGGTTGCTTGATCTTGCTCAGACTAGCGTGCCTTCTTGGAGCGGCCTTCATTTTGACGGTGTGGAAGCAGGAAAAGAATCATAAGGGGGGGATGTTTGCTTGCTGATTGAGCAAGGAATCACAAAAGCCAGAAACGACATAAACGACATCCGCATACATGGAAGATCTGGGATAGAACATGATAAATGAATACGAAAGCGTTTCACTTTTGTCGTTCCGAAGTTTGTTTTTGATCATCCGGCAGTCAACAGCCATTCCGTCTCCCATTTGCAAAGTCCCTGCGAGGTCACAAAATAGCTCTCGCAGACTGTCCTCCATCTCTGTGACCTGACGAGCTGAGCCAAACACGTCCGCGGGTTCATCGGGAGAACATCTGAGATGTAGGACTGACCTCGGTAGAATTGCCTTTCCCTCGTGAATTGCAGACATTGTTCCTGAAACAGACAGAGAGCAGCACCTCTCTTTTGTGTGCATGTGTGTGCGCATAAGGTCCCCGGCAGCCTGTCTATCTCTCAGGGATGGTGCCGAGAGCTCATCATGATGAACCTCTTGGGAGATGACACCGTGTCATGGCAACACGAGACTTACAAGAGACAGAAGAAAAAGGCCTGCAAAGCAGAAGAACTATAGCAGATGGATCCGACTGGTCGAAGGCTTCGAAATATTTTTTATGTTTTGATTTTGAACCCATTAAGATTATATATTCCATTAAGTCACTAAGCATCCTTTTCAGAGACCCTCGCCTTAGAGCTTAGGTTACGGTGGCGCCTGATACGGCTTTGGGAAGCCTGTTTGCTGATTCATCAGAACTCGGATGTGCCCTGAAAATTTTGTTTGAACACAACATCAAGGGTGTTGTGAAGGTTGGGAGGCATGCTTCGAGTTTTCTTTGCCGGGTCATGTTTTCCGCCGGATCAACGAAGTGGTAACCTGACGTCGCAGACAGACCATTGAACTATTGTGTATGGTTGTGACAAGATTGTGTTTGTGCCCATAGATGTTCAAAGGAAACTATACCCACTTCTTGGTCTACACAGCTTCAAGCCTGGTGGAACAGAGTACACCATATGCCTTGGAAGTGTTTGATGAATTTGCCAGCGTGCCCTGATTGGATTCAGTAGTTGGGATGGGCAAGAGTGGGAAGAGATGTTGGGTGGACTTGTGATCCCTTTGATGAATCTTACTGGACTTTACACATGCGTTGGACCTACTAGGCAGAAGCTGTTCTTTGAGTCCAGAACTGCAGGCGTTTGCCGCAAGTTGAAGCGAACCTTTTGTTGCTTGTCGACCCCTCACTGAATCCCTAACTGGTCTTTGAGAAGGGTTGAAAAGGTGAAGGTTCCCAAAGGCTCTTGAAACCTTGCGAAGAACCCAAGCCATTATGCGTCCCAGCATCCTAGTGACTTCTTGAACCGTTTTGAGTCGCTAGGACAGCTTACCTTTTGACTTCTTAAGAACTTACCAATCCCTCAAGCCCTGATGCCGCCAGGCTGTCAAACCTGAGGTCTCCAACATGAGCTTTGTGGATTTGGATTTGGATCTTGGCGAACTGGGAGGGAACATCTCCTGGTCCGAGCCCCTCCTGGTCCGCCGGGCGGGGGAGCTCGGAAAAAACTCGGAGGCGGCTGTAAAAAAACATCAAGGCGCATGCAAAAGCATATTTGTTGGCACGGACAAACACATGTCACAACAAGAACATACAAGAAACAACACTACGAACTGCCACTGCCGCAATCAACAACGGATTTTGTGTTGAGGTCCAGGATTATCTCATCTACTTGGCAGAAGATGCTCAGGGTCTCGGGAGGCCGAACAGTCAGGAACGCCTCGAACATCCTCGAATTTTGAGCTTTGTTTGTTTCAAACTTCCACTGACATCCACTATCGATCAATGACCCCAAACCTCTCAACCTGGGTATGCGGTATGCAATGGTATGCATGTTGCTAACAAATCTCCACCCGATGTATGTGAGTCTCCTGCATTGACCCAAGTCTGCGCTGTTGACAGGTCGCAGGTAGATCTGGTGCCTCAGGGACAGACACTCACATTGCTTCCGCCCGAGACAGCCATGATGAATTTCAGTTTTGTGTTCCTTGGCCAGTATGTGACAACATGTACAGCAGTATTGCCGGACGTTCCCACTTGGACTGTACCTGCAATAGACTCTACTGTGATGAGTTCGGTTGTGCAGTACCTTCTTCACAGTTGCAATTTGTGTCCGCAGAGACCTGGAGGAAGTCCCACCAAGATCTTTAGGCGCCTTAGCAAAGTGTCAATTCGCATTCCAAGCAGGTTGGAGGCCATCGCTATTAGGTTGGAGGCCATCGCTTCTAGGTTGGAGGCCATCGCTTCTTGGTTGGAGGCTTGTAGGTTGGAGGCCATTGCTATTGTTTCTTTTGAACATCCAAGGCTCATCTATGCTCGTTCAGCCTTGGCCGAGCAGACTACCCCGA